TGATATTTTGTTCATTATTTCTGGTAAGAAATGATATATATTTTTAGTAATGTTGAAATGAAATAGGACTCGTAGTACATTTTTTAATCTTGATATAGACTGCTTTATTATAAACTTAAAAAAAAATACTAAGGTCTCATCGGCTTCACGCGTTGACGTCAATAAGCCAAGAACCTCTATGAAAATTCAAACGGGTTGCTCTGCTTGATATTGAATGAAATAACATCTACATCTATAGGGTACATCGATTTCCTCAGATATAGAGTCGAAAGTCCCAATTATTAGTTGCCTTGGTTTGTTCTATGCTTTTGTACGCGTTTCTCGTTCTCGTCGTACTGACATACCTGCGCCGCACGTCTACGAAAGTCAGACTACGAAAGTCAGAAACCTTGAAAATTGCCGCGGGGAGGGCACCACGTAGCTGGCCCGGTCCCCCGCGTACGACATTTCATGTAAGCACTCCTTCGCCATATACTTCGCAGTTTGTATGTTGAAAAATAAAAAAAAAGTTACGATTCTGGTCTTGTTGACATCGATGCATTTGACTCATTGCACGCGCCAACAGCCCACTCGTTGCCTTCATAATGTGATCTTTCGTTGCGTCTATTTTTCTTAAAATTTTCCCTTTCTGTTTGTCCTCTGTAATACCGCGTAACCCTGACCCTGGTGAACATCGGCACTTTTCGGGCACTCTACCATAGTGTAACAGCCCACTCTTTGCCTCCATATGCATATACTCACCGTCTGCTTCGCATCTTCTTTATTTTTTTTTTTTTGTGCCACATCTCACTATCAACATTTACTGCCTTTCTTTTTTTCCTTTATACACACACTTCTGCGGATTTAATTTGTCATTTGACTTTCTCTCTCTCTCTTGTTTCCCTCCAAACTGCGTTTCGATTTCGGTTTCATCTATCAGACGCGATGGCGTATATATACCTGCGTCCGCGTCACGGCTCTATTATCATTATTATTTTTTTTAAATAGAGAGCGCACTATGGTACTCGATTTCCCCCATATAAGTTGGACCGCGCTGGAAGCTATAAGAACAACCTCCCAGCCGAACCCAGCGCCAGCGAATCTGTCGCGTGACGACGCGTCCTACGTGCAGGTCACTGCGCGCCCCCCGATGGTCACGTGACTCTTACGCGCGATTGGATTGGCTCGAACGGCCCGCGTACGTCCGCTGCGGTCAATATCAAGGCGAACCTGAGTCTCTACGACGCGTGGGACGAGCTGCAGCTGCTTCTCGGGCCATTCGGTACGACGGCGGCGAGTGAAGACTACGCTCACGACGTAAAAGCCCACGCCTCGACGCCACGCGAGAAGGGCACACACGTACGCGCAATACACCGGCTTATTTTTTCTCAATGGGCAGGACTCGGTTCACCCTCCCCTTTGCCACCTGCCTTCTTCTCCTCATCTATCGGCATTGCTCTCTCCCCCCCCCCCACCCCCCTCCCCCACCCCACCCCAATCTCATTCTCGCCGTTTCTCGTTGCGTACGGTGCCTACCGTGAGAGTGGGGGTCTGGCGTGTGTGCTTGATTGCTCCGCTCACGTGACCTACGTCTTAACGCTTATTTTTTTCTGGTGTTTTTTTTTTCTATATTTCTTACCTTTGGGTTTTACGCTTAATTTTCGCTTTACCCTTTCCCGTATTTCTCTCTCTCTCTCACTCGCTCACTGTTTATCTCTATCATTTTGTTGTTAGCCTTTCTCAAACCCTAGTTGTATCTGTGATGCGGAGGGTGGTATGATGATGATGGTCTGGGCGACCACGTGACTATGAAAAAGGCGCGCTCTTCGGGCTTATCTGGTTGTTTGGGTTCACTGGGAACCTTCGACGTGTATGTTTGTCTCTTTTTTATTTTTTCCTTTGTCACTTTTGTTTATCCCCTTGTATGTTTTGTTTCCTTTGCTTGCGGAGCGCCGTGAACGCTCTGGAGACGGTGTCCTTGCCGAGTGTAGCTATTTTCAAGTCCAATGACAACGATCTTGGCGTTGTCATTAATACAATTTGGCGTAACCTTGGTAGCTTTGAGGGGATCTCCGAACAGTAGGCTAATATTATAGCGTTTACTATCGATTAGTTAATCTGCTGAGGCTACAAATCTCCTTTTCATTGTTTACTTGGTCTGCGTACCTCAATATAAACTTTGCACGGGGCTAGAGAAGCTACCTGTAAACTGAAATTCGAGCAAGGGTAAGATGAAATGGAGGATACGCGTTGGGCGGGGCCGGTGTACAAGTATTTAGATATATGAAGAGCTTGAACACAACGTGGACAAATCGAACGCGAAAGCTGAAACTTAAATACCTGCAAACTATTGATGGGGGCGAGCAAAACACCACTGTACAAGAGGGCATAAAGGAAACCGAGGGAAAATGTGGTAGGAGAGGATGCTGACAAAATCGGCTCTAACACTAGACAGATCGCATAAACAGGAAATCAGAAAAGAAATATATATTTGGTAACTCGCAAGGGAGTGCTTTGTTGTTTGAGGCAAGGACTGGGGTTCTGAGAACTAAGACACGCAGGGCAGAATTTTCTGATACTAACACATTATGTACGGTATGCCTTAGTGAGGAGGAAACAATGGAACATTTGGTAATAAACTGTGCGGGGCTTCATTCCACTCACCTGGAGGGGACAGATTTTGCGGGAGCGCTGGGTCGGGTGAATGGGAGTGGAGGAGTGAACGAAAAGATTATTGCAATAACAAATAGGAGATTAGAATGTTGGTGGAAAAAGGTCTGGAGAAGTTATGATATTACACACTTTTAAACGGATATAAACTGGCTAGGCGGTGCAAGCTTCCGCCCGTTACAAAAGGAACAGCCAATATTCATCCATCCCTCATCCGGGCATCAAAAGCAACACGGACGATAGATCGTGTCTGCACTAGCTTGTTTCGCAAAAAAAAAAAAAAAAAAAAAAACAGGAAAAAACATAAACACAAAATAATTTAATTGAAAAAAAAATCTGTCCGACTCATACAACGCTATAATACCATGTAAAAAAAAAGGATATCACACATTATATGTATATTTCTCAATGCAGAGGGCACAGGTCAGGATGGATGGACAAAAGGATGGATGGATCTTAATAGCTGTATGATCAGTTTGATGGTTGGCCGTAGTTGTCTACCACTCTTTGCCTGTCAGATGGCACAAAAATATTCATTGTTTTCTTTCTTTTTTTTTATTCACGGTTTTTAATTATCGAGATTTGAATTAAAGGGATGAGACGACAGCCTATGATATTTTGTGTTTTATGTGTATAATACATGTATAAGATAATAGACCTTGTCTTTAACCGCTTAAAATTGTAAACTCCGCTGCTAAAGCTACATAATGTTCCGTTTCCTTTAAATGAAAGTCCTTCATGTGGTATCAAAGTATATGGATCATATGGGTACTTATAGTGTTTTTCAGTAGCGAGATGACGCCCCCCAAATTACTACTTTCTCCTTTAATTAACTTCCTGTCGGGTAATCGAGTATCAGCGAATAACGATGCGACTTCCTCTTAGTGAGAGAGTGTTCATCTTGCAGACAAAACTTTCCGGGAGTCTGGCCAAGCGGCACTTAGCAAAAGTAACAAGGTCATTTATCGTCTGCGAACGAGACGGTCGTCTCAGAGAATCACTAATCACGGCGGTTGTTCAGGAGCGTGAGCTGTTTACGTGTTGTTGGGGACCGAGTGAATGAAGCAAGGAACTGGCGACGATTTATAACCTCCATGGACTTCATTAATGAGAGAAATGATTACGACAAGTACTATACAAAGCCAGAGACGTCTAAGGCTTCAAAGAAGGGGTAGCGGTGACTGCTAGCATGTTGAGGGTATGGCGTAAGATAACGTACTGTACTCTTTAAGACTGCACGCCGACAACTTTCTTTGTATGTCCCAAGTGTCACAAGTGTCTGATCTAAGTTACAGATTGGTCTATATATACGTTTAACATTGTCCAAAAAAAAAAAAAAAAGATGAGCTCAGACCTTACATTTCAAATGTGAACACACTGATGTTCGTTTTTTTGTAGACTTCTTTACGCTAATAGAAGAAAGGAAACTAAAAGCCATTGCTGGTTACTCGGTTACATAGCAACTACGTGGGTTACGCGTTGCGAAGTCAAAAGGGGAACGCCCTCACTTAACGAATTTAAACTAATTTTAAAATTTTCTCGGTATTTGTTGCAGCACTTGGTGACATTGTGAAGCTGGACAATATAGAAGGGATACCAAAAAGAAAAACACCAATTGGCAAAAGGTTAACCAAACATGCAATGTTGAGTGGGCAATTATGAGAAACTATAATATGATAGAATTGTTTAGTGGTAAGCGCGGCAAGTCTGTCAGACTTCGTGAATTCCTATCTTCGCATGTCAGAAAACTGGAAGCCAGTGTTGTAGAACATTGAGCTATACTGAATGCCGATAAGGTCGCCTACCGCGTGTGACACTTCAGGACTTACTTCGTGTTCCACGTACTGATTAATCGACCGTTAAACTTTTATCTGTTTTTAAATGACCCAGGTTCCCGTGTGACAGTGTAAAAGCGTGAAGGTCCCCGTAACTCAACAATGTCGCACCGAAAGAAAACAACGAATGAAGATGATTTCTGATAGTTTATTTGTACCTAACTCTACATCTTTGCGCTTCTACACAACGAGAAATCCGTCGTATAATGCAACCTTCGGAACTCGGGGGTAACGGACCAATGAGTATACAATGTAAGGTCGCGCACTGAAACTGTTGACTCGCACATTATCTGTGAAGTTTGGGTACAGGGAGGGCTGTTGAAGGAAGAGCGGTGATACGAGCATGGGGGGAAAGGGGAGCACACCAGTGTTGTACGGAACGGCGTTCCAAGGAACGATGTTCCTGAAACACGTTATTTTTAGGAGGAACGCCGCCGTTCCATCTTGCATCACTTGTTCCGTTTTCGGGGGGGGGGGGGGGGGGGGGGGGAAGCAAAACCACAACAAAAAACGATTTTTTTTTAAATTTATATTTGAATTTAGTTTTTTTTTTAATTTTTACCTGAATTTAGAAGTAATTTAGGCTTTTGATCGCAGAGTTTTAGTAGATCGTTCTGATACCTGTGCTGCCCCCGGTAAAGATTCGATGCAGGCGCAAAGGCGGCGGTGGAGTTTCGCGTATCGTTATTGGAGTCATCGGAACGCTCCACTATACAACTCTATTAGCGACTCTTTCTATACGATATCAAGGGACGCGGTAAAGTGTCCCCGAGAGATAATCGAAACCAAAAGAACTGGAACACATGTGATAGTGGCGACTCGAGACGTAGATTGATGAGGATTATTTTCACTCATTTGTTCAATTTCATTCACGAACTATCCGGCCACGGTGGTTCCGAATCTTAGAAATTGTAATGGGAAGTCGTTCCAAGATTAAAGAAGGAATGAGGAACCAGCTTTCGTTCCCTGTTTCGAAGGAACGTTTGTACAACGCTGGATCAGACCAACACTTAGGGGGTGTAGTGTGTGATCACAACGTCGTGTACCATTGATCACACCGCAAGGGTGTGATCAACCGACAGGCACCTAGGAGATATCGATCCGTTGATCACACCCTTGCAGGAGGACTGGCGAAAAAAGAATAGAGGGTGTGCGGGGGGGGGGGGGGGTGCGATTTAAAATCGTAGTACTAGTCTCACTGCTTATACATCACACAGACATGATGACATAAGTGTCCGCCGACACGCCTCGTGCATGTTCAAACCATGTTTACTTCGTACATGATTTAGACATGCCTGCCGACAGTTCTTGTATGACCGGTGTGACCGGGGCTTAAAGGAGGATGGCGCGAAGCATAAACGATCATGCTTTAAAAAATTGCCCCCTATACGACGTGATGTCTGGGCGACAACTGTGACACGTTCTCGTTCATTAATGTTTATAAATAGGATGGAAGGAAACGATGGATCCACGATGATGTCGCTGTCGCTGGGTGGGACGTCGTGTTGACTGTGCAAATAGCAAGGGCGAAGATGATCGCCGCAGTGGAGTCTTCTAGGCGGGGACCGTATTGGCTCCGGCGGCTTTTCATGGCTTTTATGGCACTGGAAGAACGTTCTCGGTTCTGACGTATACGACTCTGCTCCAAAATGAAAAGCTGGAGGATACGCAGGGATGCCTGCGAGATAAACCGTAGGGAACCTGCGCTGGCGTGTGTGAAGAGAGGCCCAATCATTTTTAAAGGATGCCAAGTTGGCGGCAAGGCGGTCAACCAGAAGGACTGTTTGTTGATAGAAGGATAACGTTAAAGTTATCCTGGACAGTATGGCTAGTTCATTCAATGACGGACTGCCTGTCCCGGACAAGAAGGGCCGCGAAATTTACAACAGGCAGGTGATGTGCTGCGCTATCGTTTCGGCCTCTAGCTGTAACATCTTCTTGCAGGCTTATGCTAATCTGTTTCTTTGTTTAATAACTTAGCCGGAAGCAAAGTGTAGTACGTTTCACAGTAAACACGTAGAGCGATGACGGCCACTGGTCACTATTGCGCTAATTCTCTTAGTGAATAGTTGGGGCAATGGATGAACCTAAGGGGCTTTATCTGCGCAGCGCAGGTTCTATATAAGCGAGACCATGGAAACCTGAAGGTCTGCGAAGACAGCTGCACGTTGACAGTCCGTTCGGCGCAGACACGATCCGAAGAGCAGGGCGATGCAGCGACGAATACGACTACGGTTCATCAGGTAAAAGGGTTTGTAACACAATCTAGACGACGATCAATACACACACACACACACGCACGGACACACATACTCGCACAAAGATACAACAACGATAGCAAGTTTCCTCCATGGTTCTCATTTGATGTAGTCTGTCTCGTTTTAGCCTAGACACCAGGAGGTCAATACACGCCATAGAGCCATGTTTGATTTCATGTTGCTGACTAAAACATGCACGTAATGTGGCTGATGGCATGACCAAGCGGAGTGTGTAAAAGATCATGAAGCTCCCCGTAGTCTTGACGGAATCCACGCTGGGTTATCTCAGGGGGCCTTGCAGTAGACGTGCATGTACGCAGGCGACTGTCCAGTTCTCTCCTTCTCCTGGTCATTGAGGAGCTACTTCATAAAATGTCAGTCCAGGTGACAGATCCCAGCTACTACCTTGTCACTGGCCTCGTCGACATTCCTCGTCGGTTCATCGGTCCACAATCCAAACTGTTCCATGTCTGTCACGGCCGCATATTCCAAGAACGAGACGAGAAAAGATGATCGCATTCACATGAACGGAAACGACGCACATGACAAACTGGGCTCAAGAACACACGTAGAAGAAGAGATCATGGGGATCGTCGTCCCCGGGGGAGGTCTTCAGCGGTTCTTCAGCAAGAGCAAGAACACTCAACAAGGACGGACAGGGTGGCCGGTATCCAGCGGCACTGTCGCCGCTGCGTCCAATCTCGGCAGTGCCAACGGAGGACGGTCTTCTCTGCTGAGGTCTTTTCGCGGCACGTCATCCCTGGCGGAAAAGAGCAAGACCTGCGGCTGTTGTAGCACCGACCCTCGCGGATCCAGCGTGGCCAGAAGCGCAGTCCCAGGTCCTTCCAGCGGTACACCAGCGGACAGTAGGTGTACGTCCAGAGGAGCTGGCGCAGCTTGCGGCGAAGCTTGCGGCCGAGGTCCAGGCGAACCTTGATGCCCCCCGGGAAGTCGAGGCCCTTGAGACGAATGCGCTGAAGGTCTCGGGGCATGGGCCGAGCCGGCACGAGTCGGCCCTTCTTGAGCCGGAACCCGGGCTGGAGGCTGCCTGCATAGGAAGACAGTCCACCACGAGACTTTGTTATTGTGATGAATTCGATCGCAAGACCGCATCTAGAACACATAAGAGCAGTATCCTTGTCTCAGCTAATTGCAGCTCAACCAGATGTAGGTCGTTTTGTATGTGGTTTTCTTTAAACAGTCGGTTATGCTGCGATGCTCCAAGGTCTTTTCTCAATTTATCTTTCTGGGGGTAACCTGATATCCAGTGTCGGGTCGAAACATAGTAACCCAATAAAGACATCTACTACAACAACTGTTCACGGAGCTGCTCGTTCAACACAGCTTAGAGGAAGAATATACGTGTGTGGGAATAGCTATATGTTATTGCTTCCGAACTAGCGATGATAACAGCGTTCGTGCACTGGTGTAGCCTGACGTGGTCGTCATATTGGTGTAAGTTTCCCGAGCAAGTATTAAACTGCAAAAAGGTGGTTTATTTCAAAACCTGTTACAACATTTCGAAAGCATCTCCCGTGCATTCATGCATCATTCAAGATCACAGCAAGTGTACAGACATGAATTTACCTCGGAACCCCACTTATTGATGCTCGAAGTGATAGCCGTCGTTTCGTAAAGAGACTTGTAGTCACCGAAAACTGAAGACAGGCGGTCCAGCGGGCGTTCCGCAATTCACAAACAAAAATGGCAGCTCGCAGAAGGCAATTTCTTTGATAGGTCTAGAGATTACTTTTGTGCTGTTTGTTTGAATCCCTGATAACTCGAATACACGTTAATATGAGATTGGATCATCAAGTCGAATTAAATGGCTAGAGAACTGTCCATCTATTCGTTCTGATGGACTCATGGCGGGACGAATGGGCTCATAGATAGTCTGAGAGAGTTTACGTTTCCTCTCGTCTCGATCATCGGCAAAAGGCTGGCATCCCAATTTCGGTCACGACAACGTTTTGTTCGTCTTTTGTCCCCCATACATCCCAGGACTGGAACCACATCTATGGACAATTTCCACCGTCATGGAGTCCCAGCCCCTTAGGAGTAGCATTAATAATTATACTATTTTTGATTGCACCTAATTTGTACTTCGTATTTTGTTACTGTCCAATATTTTCCCCCCTGCCTTCCCCTCTGAAATGCCTTCAGGCCTTGATGCCTCCAGAGAGCAGAAACTGACCGTTAGGATGCAGGAAGCTCTCCTTGGGCCTGTGCACGGCCATGAACTTGGGATCAAAGTGTCCGGCCAACGTGCGCTGCAGTCGAGTGATGTCCAGGTCTTCTGGTCCCGGGTCGTAGACGTGTCCGGCGGGCTCGACCAGGTCGATGACCGGGAGGTCGTGGGAGGGCAACGGCCGCAGGAGGGTCCTCTGGTTGCCGCCCGGGTGGGGCCTGGTGCCGGCCCGGGCCGCCGAGACGGAAGACGCCAGGAGCAGGAGCCCCAGGCACAGGGCCTCGGCGACGACCGCCGGGCCGCTAGGCATGGGTTCTCTGGCGCCGGCTGCAAGAAGCGTTTCAACAGACAGCGCAAAGATTTTATAAGGGTAATGAAGTGATTTATTACTTCCGCTAAACACCGTCCTAAAGGAATCCTTGACATTCATTGCCTACAAAACGCGACTTCGTTGTGTTTTTCTCTTTTTTTTTTTTCCAGCGGATTAGCAGTTTATGAAAAAAGTGAAAAACGAGCAGCATTCACCACTTAACTCCCAGCCAGAACCAGCAGCGATATGTAAGTTCCAACTATAGTCATGTCTCGTTAATAAGGACTTTTAGCAAACCGTTACCGCGTTCTGCGTACCGCACTCCTGGAGCCCTTGAAGCATACTTTTCAGCGCGCGCCCCGTGGTCAGGGTACGTCACCCGGGAGCGCGCTTAAAAGCATGCTTCCAAGGCTCCGGCAGTGCGGTACACCGAACGCGGGAACAGTTTGCTAAAAGACCCCAATAATAGGGACTTTTAGCAAACCTTTATGGTGTTCCGCGCACCGCACTGCCGGAGCCTTTAAAGCATGCTTTTAAGAGCGCGCCCGGGTGACACTGACCGCAAAGCGCGGGCTTAAGAGCATGCTTCATAGGCTCCGGTAGTGCGGTACACGGAACAAGGTGACGGATTGCTCAAAGTCCTCCTATTAATTGCGTTGCGTGTATGTTTAAACAGCCGGAATGGAGTCATCCCTGATAAACGACTGGTGTCTGCGATCTCGATGAGAAATTTAGCCAGCGTGCACTAGTAGTAGTACCCACTGCTACTTTAGGGTCTTTAATCTGCATCACGCAGATACTCATTCAGATCAAATCGCGCAAAGGCGGGGATTGTTCCCAGGATACCTGGCTTTTGCAGCGCCAGTTTTCGCTCCACTTGCTCCGAGCTGCGGTGTGCCAACACGCTCGGCCAGCAATCTCCCCCCCCCCCCCCCCCCCCCCCCCCCCACCCCCTCCCCCCCACTCCGTTAATACGGATACGCCATTTTATATACAGAATTTTTCGGGGACGAACTGAGAAATACATGCATTTTTATCCTGTTATTTATAAAACTCAAATTATTGACGTTTCTTTTCATGGTTTGGGGGGGGGGGGGGGGGGCAAGGTGTCCATATTAACTAGAAACGACTCTATGACGCCAACGTTCGTTACAGCCGGTCAGTTGGGTTGGAAATGCTCAGGGCATGTGCTGTGCTATTAGAGTTTGCCTATTCGCGTTAACCCATGATTGGCGATTGGTCGCGACACCTAGCCTGAATGTACGCCAAGACAGTGATAATAACAACCGAGCCCAAATCGGGACCCCCCCTCAATACTCCTGTTTAGTTTATGAGTCGCATTCGACTACCTTCATCGCTGGGGTGATCTCCGCAATTATGTCAACATTGTAGTCCCTACGAGTGTCAGCAAGCTTGCGAGTGAGTGACTGAACAAAGTTGACCCAGCTCTGTAAAATTACTTTATTTACAAAAAGAAGTTGTCTCAGTGACGTTGCGCGCGGTCATAGTAATGCCACAGGTGTGTCAGCGTACCGGTTGAAAGTCAGTAGTGTGTAGTGTGACAAGAAAGTGCAAGAAGTATGACGAGCAAGAAAAAAAAAAAGAATGATTAAAAAAGAAAATGATTTATTTGATTTAAATCATTGTAGCTAGCAAAAAGTTAATGTTTACCACTCTATGTATTTTTATAATAGCAGATTGATTGAACAATTCGATTCATCACTGAACATAATAAGAAAGAAAGAATTAGTGTACATTTCAACTTTTAAATGCGGTTTAGTGACAACATTTATTGATGTAAACTCAGCATACAAGGACAAAAGCAGCTAAATGCTTTAGCTAGTGAAAGATATATTTTTTTCAACGTTCTGGTACTTGCAATGGTACATTAATTTTTTTTCTCGGTTTCTTTCACATTTTGATTTGTTTGTAGTAGGGCATTACGTTACTAACAAACAAATAAAAACGCAGGAAAAAAAAACTGAACGCTCTGATTTTCTTAAGATAGTTGTTCGTGTTCAACCTGCTAAAATCTTTTTTGCTAGATGATTCTTTGATTTAAATTCAAAACAAGTGCACTTAAAAAGCATCAAATGAAAAACTGTAGATAAAAAGTATCTTGGGGAATTTCTATGCCGGAGGGGTTTGGCTGAAGTCATCATAGTAAAACCGGTGTGATCTAAATGATATTAATCTTTATTCTTCCCCTGATGCCGGGTTCTGCGAAACTCAAAACGAAAATATGCCTGCCAGTCTTGGTGAGCACAAAATTGATGGGATTTCACTAGATTGATAGTTCAAAATTAATGCATTGAAGACCTAATTACTTACTATATTAATTTGTGAGAAAAGTAAATAAAATATTGAAAGGGAACTTCTAGAAATTTTCGTGGTGAACGTTTCGCTGGAAGTGCTTGCGTGCTTAGGGTCCTGAAGAAGCTGTCCCAGCAGAACTTTGGCTTCCTCTTTGACGCTTCAGTGAGGTTTATTTTTAAGTTCCTACTTGCACTTTTGACCGCTTTAGGGATTTGTTAGAACTGTCAAGACGTTTTCCGGCATTTGAAAGTGAAGCCTGATATCGAAAGCACACGTTAGTCTGAGTTTGTCAGCAAGAGCAGGTCATCAGCGAGTGTGCCACTCGTAAAAATTATTGGCTCTCGCTGAAACGCATAGACATCAATGAAATTTGCTTTATTTCTGACGGGTTTCTAGTTTGACCACAGCGAACCTCTTAGGTTTCCAGCTTCGCGCTGAAAAAAATATCTTTTTCCTTCTACTCACGCTTTGGGTGCCTCTACAAAACGCGAAATGTAGTCTGGTAAAAACAAAAGAACGATTACATCGATTAATCTTTTTTTTTTTTCTTTTTTAGATTTATACTTTCAGTTAGATGGTTCATTTAAATCTAATGCTCCTGTTTCACGAGAAATTCAAAGGACTATACAGAACGATGACCTTTAGAGAATCGAAAAACTAGCTCGCGATCTCGACTCTGCACGTTCCCCTGGGAATGAGATTGTTCGTTGATTCTCTCAAAGCCTCCGTCCCGTAGGCACTCAAAGTAATGGCACGTGAACCAGGGGTTTTAACACGATATAAACTGAAGTTGCGTTTGGAAAGTACAAACCTGACAGAGAGTATCACGCCAGAGAACAAACACCGACGAAATGTCTTCGAAAAAGTAACTGGTCATTTTGTTTCACGCAAGTACTGCGGAGGTCGCGAAACTGGTATAAAAGTCCCAGTTTAGCAACAATGTTTCGCTGCACTGTATCTAGATTGTGCAGTTTATGCCGGAGGCAGTTGAGTTTACGTGGGTAAACTGCATTTGCTTAAACTGTGTCACCGTTCAGAGGGTGAACCGGTACATGTAGGATTTTCATATACAGTAATGTCTTGTTAATGTGGACCCCGTTAATATGGATACCCTGATATACGGACACCATTTTCAGAGACAAACTGGGAATATACATGCAATTTTGTCTCGTTATTATGGACAACTCACATTATGGACGATATTTTGGAGGAGCGGGAGGTGTCCATATTAACTGTACCAGTGTTGTAAGCGTGTACCCACCTCCGTGCAGTAATCATTGCGTTGTGAACTAAAGAAAAAAAAGTAGAGGATTGTGTTCGAACTAAAGTAATAACATGATTCATGATACAGAATTTCAAAGCCTATCAGTATTGTTAGCAATGGGGGAGGCGTGTGATTTCCAACCGAAAAGAAAATGAGCATCGGGGGTTGTCTTTCACATCTCTGTTTTTAGCTTTTATAAACTGAAAACCTTAAATAGACATTTGGTTTTCATTTATAATTGTGTACTTAATTAATCGCAAACATTGGCCGGCTTTCAGAAACTACAACGTTAAATTTCGTGACGATTTTTCTGACGGGATTTGTATTAGAACATTTGAGGAGTTTGCCCATGTGCATGGAAGAAGTAATTGAGTGAAACATTTAAGAATTTAAAGTCTGAAACAAGCTCAGGCGTTAAGTAAAGGACTTTGGAAGGTGCGGAACTTTAATTATGCGCGTCTGTTGCACCCATCATAATTCCAGATTTACGATACCCAAAAACGATTGAAATGCTTGACATGAGTGTCTATGCTTCATAAATTTGTTAAAGGTTAACATTTTGAATGGTACTCCAAATTTGCAAGTTGTCACGCTCAGCTCACGTCAAAGTGACGTGTATTTTCTACATTTAGAGAATCATATGGGAACATAAATACTTCAAGATTTATGACAAAAAATATATTGGCGTAAATTCATACGCTTTAACACAATGTTAAACAAACACACAAAAAAAAAAACACGCAAAGAAAAAAGAAACAAAAAGCCAAAATTGATCGGACTGGTTAACACTTCAGTTCACACTATAAATTTATAAATTTCAAGGACAGATATATAAAAGTATCAAGCTTACCTTTGCGTCAACGGAGCGGTCCTACCAGACCTCGCGCACTACACGGCGGTGAGGCCATTTCTGCGAGCTTGCAGCCGCGCCCGCCGGTCGCTCCGCCGGCGCTGCGGTCGCTTGGTGCCTCGCGTCCATGCTGCTCCACTTGGCGAGCCGCTGAGCGAACGAGTATTCCGTCCGATTGCTGGCTGATATTTTGGTTGGCGCTTCGAACAAGAAAAGCAAATGAACTCCTCGATCCCGATCCGTGTTTCTTTTTTTCTTCTCCCACTTCGCCGCTTCGATTTCCGTTCTTGCTTCTTCGTTTCCCCCTTTTTTTTATATATATAATAACGTTCGCAGTCGGAGACGAGATTTACCTCCGCGTTCTAGTCATCAATAAGGTCTTCGCCGTCGGAAGGAGTAGGCACTGTTACACTGTAAAACAAGAACCACTCTACGCTATTAACCGCTATAACTGTATAACGATGTTCGCGGTTTAAACGAGCGCGGTCGAGCTTCTTTGTACCTCTCGGATGAGCGCGCGGTGTCAGCCTTACTTTTATTAGTTTTTTTTTTTCCTGGGTCGTCTCGTAAGAGACTGTCACGTGACGCACGTGGCGGTCGCACGTGGGTGTCCCTCCCGGCTGAAAGCTAAAGGAGACGCGGCGTCTCTAGGGTGTGGCGTCAACTATGACGTCAGGCATGAGTGGGCGGAGCTTTCTCGGGACATTGTGGGCGTTTCGTTTGCGTGTATGTGTGTATGCGTGCGTGTGCGGTGAATTACTATAAACGCGAGTCGTTCGTTTTGTTTCCTCGGAGCAAATGCTTCGTTTGTTCTGTATTTTTGTCTTGTTTTGTTTTTTAAGTCGATGACAAGGAGGAAGTTTTATGTGGTTCCGCATCGAGATCTCAAAAGGAAGCAGGTTGACTGTTGTATAACCGTTTGCATGCTGAAACAACACCTAACTCGTTGTGGGTTTATGTGAGGATGCTAATTTGTGGCCCCGTGCCCGCGTTTGCTCATTAAACGTGACCGGTGCTTGTGTTCGCACCTTTTGTTTGCGTTGTTTCGGGAAAGATTGTTGAATTAATACAGGTTGCTTGCTCAGCTTTTTGCACTTGGGTGAAGGTCTTACGATTATATTACCTCATAGTTTCTTTGATAATGGTACAGTACTTTTGTGCGCGAAAAATTTAAAAAAGTAAGAAGTTGAATGTTTTTGTTCGTGTTTTTTGACAAGGAGAGGTCAGTCTGTGTACCTTTGAGGCGTGGCGACGCTGGTTCACCATGCAGAAGAGCATTTTATTTAGTACAGTACGACTGGCAGCCTAAGTTCTAACCTGCATCACTGGGAGAATTATTACACGAGCGCGCGCCGGTACAATAGACCCTTTTCACAAGAGCGCCGCCATCTTGAATTATCGTCACTTCCAGTATGGGGGAAAATATTCTTTTGCCGTCGCCCGCCAACTGAAGACATTTAGGATACAAGTATAGCCATCACACATTCTGGTTTGGCCTCCCCTTTGTTTATTATTTTCTTTTTACAATTCGCAGCTTGAAATGTTTTATTATTTTCTTCACGCCCATACCGGATACGCCTATTAGGTGGCTCAAGGCGAGAGTACACAATAAAGATCCATACTTACTGATATCAAAACGGGCAGGGGATGGGAATTTAACCCAAGGATGATATACAGGAAGCCCGAGAAAAGAGAACGCTGCTTTTCGGCCGGGGTAAATGACTATTCATTCATTCATTCATTTGTTGATTTTCTGTTCCCATGAACAGCTTGACGCCTTGATAATGATGCACAACAAAATGTTCACAGGTTAGTTATAAAAGTCTTAAGAGCTACGAAATTTGGGTTAAGAACATCAATATCTGCTCCCCTGAGGGCATTGTAGAAGTGTTGAATACAGGTCATGGGACTGGTTTGGATGAGGTGATTAATATGGAAAGTCGGAGAAACTTTCAAAGCTCGTCTCGTAACGCGAATATTAATAGCAGATGTGAGATCTGGGCAATCAATTAGTCCATGAATGCATTTATACAGGAAAACAAGATCGCGCTCACGCCGTCTAGAACTCAAAGTAGGGCATTTGCATCATTCCAACAGCCTCGCATAAAAATAATGAACAGTACCACCAATGTAACGATCACAAACAATTTAAAAAAAAAACGCTTTTGAACATTTTCATTCATATCTTGGCTCGTAGAACTAATACAATAGACCCTTTCCGAAATTCAGTCTGGCCACTTTGACACTATCATCATCTGTGGAACAGTATCTGTGCCATACCAATGGCGGCCTTCTAGTGACTGATAAAGGAAGACGTTGAAGATGCTCGTAAGCGGATGATGCGAGGCCTGTACATTCGGGGGGTCAGTACGACGCGACGTAGGAATGGAACCCAAGAGCTACGTAAGCGTTTATTTCTAATAACTCAGATTCAGTCAATCTGCGGGCGGCACACAATCGGCTTTAAAGCACTTTGGTGTATCGAATTTTCTAGATGCATCTGAGTGGGTTGGACCTTTGTTCTGAATGCAGGTCCTTGGTCACCATCGAACTGTAAGTGATCGAGAAAGAGCTCACACTGAACAATTCCTCGCGTGCCGTTGACTTGCGAAGGTGACGGTGCCGATACAAATTCATTTCCGCCATTGATATGGCAAAACCTAAACTGCTTTACGAACCACCAGATGGCACTGAATTTCGGGAAGGGTCTATTCTAGACCTCAGAGGAAAACTCCAACTTGGTCCGGATTAACGAGAAAGATAACCGTAGAATACGGGTTGATGTGGAGAACTCACGCGTGATCCCAGAAATTACTCCCAGCTTACGCAAAGGGTAATTTATAAGGTTGTCAACATGCACAGTAAAGTATAACGAAGAGTCTATGTATACACGAAGATCACGCGTGCACTCGACTCTTCGCAGCGGATCATTGCCAATCTGGAAACAAAAATTTATTTTTTCTACCTTTCTAGACAAGGACATAATAACGGTTTTAGAAGGATTGAGAATGATTGACACCAATTACACACACGCCTAACATCCTCCGTAAGTTTTTCACAGTCTTCGAAGGATATGATCTGCCTAAACAACTTGACATCATCTGCATATTGCAAGATGGCGGAATTGAGAACAATTGAGCTCAAATCATTACTAAAAAACATTAAAATAGATCGGCCCAAGTATGGAGCCTTGCGGCACACCCGAAGAAGAAACATAAGGCCGGGAGTGATGTCCAAGAACACGAACAAAATTGTGTCTATTAGACAAATAATCTAGAAACAGGGAACAAAGGGAGGTTCTCACCCCGTAGGATTCTAGTTTGTGTGTAAGGAGCGAATGGTCTACCAGATCAATAACCTCAGAAAGGTCAAAATATACAGCGTCTGTCTACCTGTCCACGTTGGCACACAGTAGGCGAAACAAAATCCAAAAAAAGGACACCAGATTTGTCTCAACAGACCTTCCACGCATAAAGCCATGTTGTGAAGGGCTTATCTTATGCTTAAAAAAAGTTTGAAATCCGCTCAAATAAAACAATTTCATAGATCTTAGCAAAGGGAGATTGCAGCGACACAGGTCTGCAATTTTTTACATCATCCGTTCTGCCATTCTTATGTAATGGCACAGTAATAGAGTTCTTCCACAGGGAAGGAGATGTAAGGCTCTGCAACGACAAGCTAAAAATATGCGTTAAGACGGGCGCAAAAATAGAGGAGCATCCTTTAACAATGAAGCTTGGAGTGCCGTCAAACGCAACTGATAACTTTGGCTTCAGTTTCGTGATAGCAAGTTCAATATCAATAATTTCAAAAGATAAAATTGACAGGTGATCACTAGCATTATCACTGACGCCATGCACAGGCAGTGCAGTTTGGCCGCAAGAATTAACCGAAGAAAAATAACTCGCGAATGCATTTGATACATCTTCGGGCCCAGACAGCCTATTACCCACAGACAGCTATGTTTATTGATGACGAAGTTGTAGTTGTGCGATGTTTTACATATCGCCAGAAAATGCATTGGGTCGCGATTTAAGCTACGTTCTACTGACTCACGCGGTGTAATATTTTATCGCGCTTCAACAATGTCTTAGCTAGCGCACGCGACTCAGAAATCTAAGATTTTTTCGGGACTATGTATGCATAGCAGAATTCTCAAACTCCGTGAGAATGTGGCGCTTGCATCCGAGGTCCACCTCTAACCTAATTTAATAAAATAAAATTAAAAAAAACATTGTGGGCATTTGTAGCATCTATTTCAGTGAAACAATTACTTGTCAGCAAGAAGTAAAACAATATTTTCTTTCGTGCTCACTAGTTTGTTTTACTGATATAAATCCCACGAGCGTTAAGGACATTATGCCTTGTTTTGACGATATTAGGCTTAGGTTGACGTGGGCTCATAGAAAAGTTTTGTTTTTCTCAATTATCTTTTAATCCAGGAAATGTCATCTCCTCAAACTTTCGCGTTCTATCCCAACCGCTGGCTTCGCATTCTCACGGAGTTTGAGCTTTTTGTGATGTATAGTTTATTTATCCAAACCAAAAAAAAAAAGCTTTGTTTTTTTTTTTAACATTTTGTGCTACTGCGACAGCACGTCTATGGTCTTGCGATTGCTTTATTCGGCACTTTTCTGCCCACACTTCCCGAATAAATTTGACGTTATAGCCTTCCTACAGTCGCCGTAATGCCTTTGTGTTTTTATATATTTTCCATCTCGTTTTTAATAGCTTTACGAAACTCCTTTTGTTTGTCTTACTGTCCACGGGTTTATGACAGTCAAATACCGGTTAAATAGCCGACTTAGTTTTTCAGAAACGATACTGGCGGCGTTCAAGGCTCACTTTAATGATAGATATGACACACCTGAATTGCAATACACGTAACTGCACGGGGGCGCTGTTGTATGGCACGGCGTTGCCGCAACGCGTTCTTTTGAAGAGGAAAAAAGACACGACCGTTACATCTTGAAGGGGCGGATCGCAAACTCTATAATTTCCGCGAAACAGCGGGGGGCATCAGGCGTTTTTTTCTCTCTAGTTCTTGTTGCACGTATACTAAAGGGTTCCTATCTAAGGTTAAGTTAAGTTAGGTTCATTGAGTTCTTACCATTAGGTGTCTTACTTTTTTTTCCGGTCATTTTTTTTTATTGAAGGTATACGTTCAAAGTTTTTGTTTGTTGTTGCCAAATCTAAGTTTGACAAAACTCAACGCGGATGCCATCGCGAAAAAAAAAAAAAACGGCGTATATGAGCTTGTGCTGAACGTGTCCTCTCCAACGTTTCGATTTCGGTCACCGCGAGAGAGAGAGAGCGAAGTCTAATTTGCTGCTTGTCGAGCTAGTGCAGTCAGCGTTTGTGGACCTTTCGTCTGCTAACGCAAGTGAAGTACTCGGTTCGCGTGGAGGTAGGAATTTCTACTGGAGACGACATGACGCCACACCCCAGACGATGACCAAACTCGAAAGACACTATTGGACGGACTTGGGCACCCTTGGACGCTATTGGATGGACTTAGGCA